AACATCGCTACACTAGCACTCAAACTATCCAGAAAAACTTGCAACTTACCTGGATCGTCATTTAGTAGCACAATTTCGTCTGCATACTCGAGATCAGACAGTCTGCCACCAGGAAGTAAATCGATACCGCTATCCCTGCACGAGCAAAGGGCTGTTTCAAGAATTAAATCTATGACAAAGTAAAATAGAAAAGGAGAGCGAGGGCAACCCTGTCGGACACCACTTTCCATGGTGAACTCCGGTGAAAAAGTGCCGTAAGCTCGAACTTGGCTTCGGCTATTGTTGTAGAGGGATTATAATATTAAAATAAACTTCTCGGACACTCCCTTCAGGGAAAGGCAGCGCCAGAGTTCAGAGCGGTCGATTGAGTCGAAAGCCGCTTTCAGGTCGAGGAAGATAGAAGTGGTGGGCCTACGAAAAGAGTGTCTGTGTTCTAGGATTTGACGAAGAGTGAAAATGTGGTCGGTACAACCTCGACCAGGTCTAAAACCAGCCTGGTTCTCACGCGTGCCCTCTTCACGTGCGACAGACAATCGACGGAGTGTGATACCGGCGAGAAGTTTAGAGGCAATATTGATTAAACTAATTCCTCTGTGGTTTTCACAGGAGGATCTGTCACCTTTCGTGTAAAGCGGTATGATCACCGATTCACACCATTCAGTTGGAACCTGTTCCTTTTCCCACACTGAGCCCAGGTGTTTTGTTTTCTCCCTAAAAGCCGATGGGAACAGTCTGTCGGGACCGGAAGCCTTACACCTTTTGAGATAGCTTATTTCTCGGGTAACCTCCATTTCAGATGGAGGACTGTTATCAACTGGTAGTATTCGCACAGTTGAACCGGGTATAGGGAGGTCTTGTGTTGACGAGGACCAGCTAAACTGTGCCTTAAAATGTTCTGCCCATCGATCTAGACGGCGTTGCTGAATATGAACCCGTGTGCCTTCGGATTACTTAGTGGCGTGCAATTGGAATACGGGAATCAGGGAAGTAACGCCACGAAATCTCCATTCATTTTGATCT